CACACACACACACACACACACACACACACACACACACACACACACACACACACACACACAGATGCTGAAATGAACTTTATTCTAACACGGGCGACTGCTGCCCTCTTGTGGATCAAAGACCTTTGCAGCAAACATTTGTACTGTTTAAAAGAACAGAACCGCATCATCTACATTCGTTCGTGTAAGTTCAATTTTTCGTATATTGTTGACAGAAGTTATACCTAATGGCATAATTACAGTAATATACAGTTGGCCCACTAGATATGCCATGTCCCTTTACTTGATCTTTGCAGGTGACAAAAATATTGTCATAATTTTCCAGATGAATACAGGACAAACACACAAATGTTAGTTTTGATAGTTTTTCTTATCTACTATTGGCAAATCAAAGTTTCTCAAGACGTCTCCAGAGACCAGAGAGAGACCAAAGAGAGAAACCAGAGAGAGGTCAGAGAGAAATTGACCAGAGAGAGACCAGAGAGAGAGAAAAGAGAGAGAGACCAGTGAGAGAAACCAGAGGGAGGTCAGAGAGAGACCAGAGAGAGAGCCCAGAGAGAGAGAAACCAGAGAGAGACCAGTGAGAGAGACCAGTGAGAGAGACCAGTGAAAGAAACCAGAGGGAGGTCAGAGAGAGACCAGAGGGAGAGACCAGAGAGTGACCAGAGAGAGACCCGGGAGAGATGGAGTGGTTCTCTGCACAGTTCCCAGAGAGCTGCAGTTAGACTTGTGTTTGGGGTAAGTTGTCTGGAGCTGATTTAGTGCTGTCTGAATGGGCCATAAAAACCCAAGAGTCTGTGTCTGCAAAAATACTGCTTTTTAACCTTCTCTTATCAGTTCTCTGCCGTGATAAAAACATGATTTGTGTCGTGGATATTTTGTTCTGTGTTATATCTGATCCACACTTTAGATCCATTATCTATGTTCATGGAAATCAGATAATATCAACATTTAAAATGCTTTCACAATTGGCCAAGTGTGTGAAAATGCATTTGTAATATTTATTCACTTAGACCACAAAAGATTAAGCTTTGTAATAAAACCCATGTCATTCGTTCCTGGCTCTGAAAGAGTTTGCTTCTATCACTAGTTTTCACATTATCACACATATTTCTAGCCTCTGTCACACCTTTAGAACATCTATTTCCAACAGAAAGGACCACCCTCACTCAGCCAATCAGCTCTCAGTCAAAAGAGTCAAATAGTGACTCAGAGGGCTCATTCTTACAAGTAATCCAAATGTTTTAGATGAAGACAGTATGTTGTGGTTTACTTTACAAGACTCTTTCTGTGAATGTATTATCTCTGGAAGGAAAAAAGGTTGCATACCCCAGCTTTAAAGTTACATTCATTTTCCAAACCCTCTCCAGTGCTGATGGTCCTCGATGCAAAAGATGTTTGCCTTTCCTGCTTGCCAGAGTCACGTTTCAATTCAATGTATTTGTGTACAGCAGCAGTCGTCTCCGAGGACTTTACACAGTTGTCGATTCACCAACAACAGATCAGAGAATCAGAACAGTTTGAACTCAAGAATGTAGTAATAACAAATACATAGGAGCCATTGGTCCATAGGGAGTGGGTTGACTACAGTCCAGAAATGGTAATAAAGGTCCTGGATCATCACTGTCCTTAGACCCTTCTGCCTCTGCAAGGAGCCACTGGCCTGAGTCCTGGCTGTAGATCCAGGACTGAGGCTGTAGACCCAGGACTCAGGCAGTAGACCCAGGACTCAGTCTGTAGATCCAGGACTCAGGCAGTAGACCCAGGACTCAGGCTGTAGACCCAGGACTAAGGCCTTAGACCCAGGACTCATTTGTAAATCCAGTGCTATGGCTGGAAATCCAGGACTGAGGCTGTTTGTCAATGTCAAGTTTATTATAGCACATTTACAACAACAAACGCTGCCCAAAGTGCTGCAAAGTGTAATACGTCAAATACAAAAAAGGTTATAGTAAAAACAGATCAACAAGTATTACAACAGCGCAACTCTGGTCTTTAGTTGCCAAAGACCAGAGTAGAGAGATAAGATAAGGACTGAGGCTCTAGAACAAGGACCACCCTAACAGTGCATTAGATGGCGCTGTTCTCCCTCCTAACTCCTCCAGAGATATCTCATGTGCAGTATTCTTGCCCTTTAGAAGATAGCCCAGTGCGCCCTGCTCTGGCTCGCCTTAGACTCACTCACTGATGGATTTAACAGGCCCTTGTCCCAAATTAATATTACTGCTACACTGCACTGCGCCTATAGGGCCGTCAGATAGTTTTAACAGCTTCTACACCAGTTTTCCATTTCGTTTGAGTCATTTTTGGACTCGTTTTCCCCCAGTTCCACAGCGGTTGCATGTGTCTTTAGTCATTTGCAATCTCAGCTGACACTTGCCTAAAACATTTATTGGTGAAGTTGTAATAGAAAAGGCCACAGGGGAAAGAGGAAAAAAAGCAGAGAACAGCTGATTACACGCACACACTGCTTTCAGAAAGCTTTGAGAGCACGTCACTTATTCACAGAGATATCCATCTGACCACATTGTACAGTTATGAAGTCTAATACATTACACACGCAGCAAAAGACATGACACATATTCAAATGGTAACTCCAGCATAATAATGTCATTGTTTAATTTTTTTTTTTTAATATTGAATTATGTAATAACACTTTCCTTTACATACTTGAATATTAGACACACGCATTTAAATAGCAACTATCTGCTTTTGCCTCTGCTCAGATGGTAAGAAACAGAGACAGAGACAGATATGCAGATAGAATTCCTCTTCCCTCACACCCTCTTGCACCGACGGAATCAAATGGAGCACTAATACACTTCAAAATAAAACATGCAATTGTGTAAGATAATATAGTATTAAACTAGTATTTATGACAATTAAGAAATGCACAAAAAATAATATCAATCATTCATTTATTTATTTATTTATTTATAGAGCGCTTTTCCTACACAGGGTAAAACAAAATTAAAAATTAAATTAAAATCACACACGCAAGAAAAATAATTAAAACATCAAAATCAAACAACAATTACAACAAGAAATAACAACAGTGCATTAAAGAGTAGAGATAAAATGAGATAAGAGAAACTTTTTAATTTTCTTGTATTGTTTTCATTGGTTTACATTTGTTAACACTCTTTTTCCTTTTTAGAAATGTTTTTTCCCACTATCTTCCCCTTGTGTTATTGAATAAATAAATACAAATAATAGCATAAAGACTTCTAGTAAAAAAAAATGATAAAAAAAAATAAAAAGACCAAAACAAGACACACAAAAAGAAAAAGCAAACACCAAGAACAATAGATTACTTTTATGTATCTCTAAATGAAATCACAAATATGTGATACATTCATTAAAACATAAGATGTGTGATTTTTACTTATTTATTCACCCTCTATACATCTTCTACAATCTGAGTCCTGGATCTACAGCCTCAGTCCTGGATCTACAGCCTCAGTCCTGGATCTACAGCCTCAGTCCTGGATCTACAGCCTCAGTCCTGGATCCTCAGCCTTAGTCCTGGATCTACAGCCTCAGTCCTGGATCCTCAGCCTCAGTCCTGGATCTACAGCCTCAGTCCTGGATCTACAGCCTCAGTCCTGGATCTACAGCCTCAGTCCTGGCTCCTCAGCCTCAGTCCTGGATCTACAGCCTCAGTCCTGGATCCTCAGCCTCAGTCCTGGATCCACAGCCTCAGTCCTGGATCCACAGCCTCTGGTGGATCTATGGCCTCAGTCACGTCTTCCGGCTGCATCTTATACCAATTTTAGTCCCTTTTTGCCTTGTTTTCTTAAGATTCTCCCGTCTATCAGTGTTATTTTTTATTTTTAGTATTAGTAGTTGTAAGTAGTAAGTAATCTTTATTTATATAGCGCCTTTCACAGACCAGAGTCACAAAGCGGTTTACAAATATGGGCATATGTCTCTCACTCCACACAGAGTGCTGTCCCCAGTACAGGAGGGGCATGCCAGAACTATTATACATGTTTTTAGTGGTAGGGGAAACCGGAGCACCATGGAGAAAACCTACGCATACACGGAGAGAACATGCAAACTCCACTCAGAAAGGCCCTGTTCCGACCAGGATTCGAACTCAGGACCTTCTTGCTGAGAAGCGAGAGTGCGATCCACTCATCCATCAGGCCACCTGTGCTGCTAATAATACATGCATTATTATTATTCATTATAATTAATTGGCTTTTAAGTATCATCAAATATGTGTCATATCTTCCTAATTTAATCTAATCTTTTAATATCTCCATTTGCTGGAAATGGGGGGAATTAGATGCACAAACATAATATTTTGATACAAATTAATAGCTTTTTTCAGTTGTAAATCTAATTGGAATAAATCTGTCCACTGTCTGCACCACACCATCAAAACTCGATGCAAATACAAGAGTGCGAGTTTGAGGCCTGCTGCAATATTACATTTTTATGGATGATAAATTACTTCAGGAAGTATCCTTAGATTACATTGCAGCATAATCATACATTATTCTTTCGATTGAATTTCATAATAAAACCAGCGCTGAGATATTAAAGTTTGATATCATACATTTTTGTAAATATCCATGATCAATGTTTTAGTTCTTACTGATGGGAGAATTGTACAGACCTGTCCCAGACCAGAGAGAGGCCAGAGACAGAGGACCAGAGACCAAAGACTACAGACCACAGACCCGAGACCAAATCCCAGAGGACCAGAGACCTGACACCAGAGGACCCGAGATCATAGAGAGACCAGAGAAAGACCAGAGAGAGACCAGAGGGAAACAACAACTGGATTCCAGAGATCCTGAACGCCATAACGTCCCTGTGTAGCAGAAGTTGGCTGGATGACACAGCAAACCTTTTTTGATAATTACTTTGTGTTAACGGTAGAGGGCCATCCAAAATGACACAAAGGCCCACAATGTCTGATCTCTGATAGAAGCAGTGCTCCTCCACAGCCCCCCCCCCCCCCCCCACCCTCCCCCCAGCTGCAGCCCACTTTCCTACTCTTTAATACCTTTTGTGTCAGGGAATTTGGGGTTTTGTTTCCTGGAAATCTTCCCTGCTGTGTAGCGTCCAAACTCGAGCTTCATCTGCCTGTGTGGCAGCGCTGGCACCGCGTTCAGAACCATTACTCTCCAACCGTTAATGGACTTACTTAACTCCTGGGTCTGCGCTGGTGTTTTCCAATCAATGAAAGTGTCAGGGGCTGCAAATCTTTGGTGCGGGATAGGCCCAGGGAGTGGGGCCTGTGGAGAGGGGGAGGAGGGATAATGGAGCTGGAGCGTGAAACCAGGACCCGAGTCTGAAACCGCTGTGATGGAGGCCTCATTGGGCGTCACTACAGCAGAACACACATGCATGTAGTTCAGCTCCGTGGGCGAATTATCAAATCTCCACTTCATTTTGACCAAGAAATCTAGATCTGTGTTTCCCAACCGGGGGGACGCAGAGACCAGAGAGAGAGAGACCAGAGAGTGACCAGAGAGCGAGGGATGAGAAATAGAGACCAGAGAGAGAGAGACCAGAGAGTGACCAGAGAGCGAGGGATGAGAAATAGAGACCAGAGAGAGGCTAGAAACCAGAGAGAGAGACCAGAAGAGAGAGAGACCAGAGAAACCAGAGATAGAGGGAGCCCAAAGATACACCAGAGAGACACCACCGAGAGGGAGACCAAAGAGAGACCAGAGCCCCAGTCTCCAAGATGTCTTCCCATTAAAATCATGAGCACATGCTCGCACCATGGATGTCCCAAACATAATCAGAACTGAGTAGAGTAGAGTAGAGCCAAGTTGCGCAGATGGAAACAGGGCTCATGAATTAATAATAATTCGGTTCTTCAGCCTAAAATCATTATAGTTCTGAGGTTCGTGTACTGTAAGTTCTATCATGCCCTGCAATAGGTCCATTCCAGTGGATTCCAGTTTACCAAACAAATACATTTTGTTTCACGCAAATGATTCAAAGTACGGTTTGCTGAAAATGCTGCTGAATTTGTTTTTGTAAATGTCACAATGTTACATTCTCTCAGTGCTCATTCTACCACTGTCCTTTCAGAGACCAGGAACCACACAGCAGGCAGAGACGTCCCTAAACACTTTCCGCAGAACAACAACACAGCTCTTGTTTCCCATAAGGCCTTGTGTCGTGGCCTTTTGTCGGCCTCATTAACCGGTGTGTGTCAGGGCATGAGGTCAGGGGTCAGGGGTCAAACAGAGCTGCTTTGACACTGCGGGAGTCAGCCATGGACTTCCTCAAACATACACTCAACTCAATATTCATATACGGTACTAGAGCCTTTAAATATTCAGACAATTAAGAAAAGTAAGATGGATTTTTGTGGTTCTTTAGACGTTGGAGAGCAAATCCCTGGTCTCAGAGATGTCTGCCCATTCAGCTCCATGTCCTGTGCGCATCGGCTCCTGCTCGCACACCATGGACGTCCCAAACACTACCAGAAGTGACACATTCTGGCCATCTCTGTTTCCCCTGATTTTGTGCAATTGGCGTGTAGGGGTTCTACTTTTGACCAATCAGAGCGCAGCTGACCAGAGCCATGGATTGATAGAAAACCAATAGATTTCTGATCTCTTTCCGCACTCTCTCTCTCTGGTCTATCTCTGGTCTATCTCTGGTCTCTCTTTTGTATCTCTCTGGACTCTCTCTGGTCTCTCTCTCCGAACTCTCTCTCTGGTCTTTCTCTCTCTGGCCTCTCTGGTCTCTTTTTGGTCTCGCTCTGGTCTCTCTCTCTGTTTTCTCTTTGGTCTCTCTCCGGCCTCACTCTTTGGTCTCTTTTTGGTGTCTCTCTGTTTTCTCTTTAGTCTCTCTCTGGACTCTCTTTGGTGTCTTTTTGGTCTCTCTCTAAAGGTGTCCAGCAGAGATGACAACCAGTGGCGGCTGGTGGAATTTTCTACTGGGGGGGCTATGAATATGATGACTAGATATATACCAGCAGGGTAGGGATGCTTTCTGATCCCTACCCTGTAGCTTTCATCCAGCTGGGATGAAATATTTATCTTCCCAAACATAGCTAATTTGAGGGCATTTTGCATGTGGATACCAGTCTGCTCATGCTTCTTTGCCTTTTCTAAAAAGTGCTTCAGATCAGTCATACCTGTCTTGATCCATGCTGGGTCAGATCCTGATGTTTGAAACAAGAGGCATGGAAAGCAAAATAAAGCATTAGCCTCGCTACATGCTGCTAGCCAAGATTTGGCGCTGAACCAGGTCCTGGAAAAAGTACGAGTGTACGTCTCCCCCTGTCGCTGGACTGCTGACTAATGGTAATATTTGGCTGATCAGGTCCAAACTCTTTAACCTCAACCTTCTCCTGGTATGATCTTCTCTCAAACGGTATTGTTTTGAGTGATCTAACTGAATTATTCTTTTTCTCGTTCTCCATTTTGCGTCTCTTTACGTTCGTCTCAAACTCCCACAGCTTGACCTGTCAATCACTGTAAACGGACGTCACAGACAGTGACAGTACAGGTCGCGGGCGATCCCGCCCCCTCAGGGCGCACTTCTCCTGCGCCCCCAAATCGTCTTATCTCTTGCATTGAAGAGGAGCTACTGCGCATGTACAACTTTTAACGAGAGTCCATAGACGGCTCAGGGCGCAATCTTTGGCGCCCTGAGGCGGAAATACGTCCTCAGTCCGACACAGACAACGCTGATGAGCTTAATCAATCCAACTCAGCATAAACTATAAAGTATTTCTTCCACATCTGAAATAAAACACACATAAATTTCGAAATATTTTAATGTTATTTTTTTTTTTTAACGTTTTATTCAAGGTAACATGGCAAGTTGTGAGTGGTGGGGCGGCGCCCTAGTGCCCTCTATTGGCTGGCCGCCACTGATGACAACATTCAAAAACAATGCATGATGTTGACCAGTAGAACCAGCATATCTGTCAAAATTGATTTCTTTCCCACAGAGTTGGCACCTACTTAAAAACTTAAGTAGGATCATATATAGAATTGTCATTATATACAGACAATTTTTGTTTTTCCTGAGAGTGCTATAAAATCATTATGAAGCGGTAGCCCGTAGCCACCTCCAATAATCGCTAATTGGTATATTTTTTAACATGTTTCTGTCCAGCAGCTCCTTGAATAGAATAGAGAGATTAGAATGTGTGCTGCAGACATAACATGATTTATTTGAATATGATTTATGTCGACTATTGACAAAAGAATCCTTGAGGAGTCGCATCTATCTCTGGAGTAAATATCAAGTGTTTTCCCCGGAGAGTTTCCTGTACGTCAGCGGACTCGGACTCAGTGTCTAAGATCTACGGATCAGGAGCGACTGGGCGACCTGTCATTGTGGGGACTTCCTGTGTCGGACAGTGGAGCTCCGAATCAGCGTGCTCATAATCAGCATAAACAACAGACTCTTCCTGTTTGTAGTCATCATCACAGGGGCAATTTCCTTCATGCTAATAATGGCACAGGCACAATTTATAGGCCTCTTCAGGGTCATTAAGGCTTTTTATGGGCAGATATGTTTTGTGCAACCAGCGACATCCCTCCACCTCAAATGACTACACAGTCCGAGCTAATGACGCTAACAAGCTAACACTGTTCTTTGAATACATGTTAGAACAGATTATTTTGCTATGTATCCAATTAAGACGCATCTTCTCTACTCTGCTATATGCTACTCTACTCTACTCTACTAGACTCTACCAGGTCCTCTTTAGTACCTGCTTGGTCGAGCTGGTACTGGTTAGTTGCAAGAAGGTTGCTCGGATGGATTCCTGATACTAAAGCATAATGGAAAGAAAACCAGGTAGAGTAGAGTAGAGTGGAGTTCTAAAGTGTTTAAAATACAGCTCTGTTTCCATCAGCCCGGGTGGAACAGAATGGAATCAATCAAAAAACTACTCTGGGCATGTGTTTGGAGGCCCTCTCCACTCTACTCTACTCTACTTTAGTCTGCTTTACTCCACTCTACCTGGTTTCATTTCCATTATGCTTTAGTATCTGGAAATGTATCCTAGCAATCTACATGCAACTTACCAGTACCAGCTCGGCCTGGATAGAATCAGGGCCAAGAGGAACTAAAGAAAGACCTGGTACTGGTTAAACACTCCCAATTGGGGGAGAGAAGATTAGAGTGGAGTAGTGCAGAGCAGAGTAGAGCTGAGTAGAGTAGAGTAGAGTAAGGCATAGTAGAGTAGTGTAGAGTAGAGTAAGGCATAGTAGAGTAGAGTAGAGTAGAGTAAGGCATAGTAGAGTAGAGTAGAGTAGAGTCGAGTCGAGTCGAATAGAGTAGAGTAAGGCAGAGTAGAGTAGAGTAGAGTAGAGTAAGGCATAGTAGAGTAGTGTAGAGTAGAGTAAGGCAGAGTAGAGTAGAGTAGAGTAGAGTAAGGCATAGTAGAGTAGTGTAGAGTAGAGTAAGGCAGAGTAGAGTAGAGTAGAGTAGAGTAAGGCATAGTAGAGTAGTGTAGAGTAGAGTAAGGCAGAGTAGAGTGGAGTAGAGTAAGGCATAGTAGAGTAGTGTAGAGTAGAGTAAGGCAGAGTAGAGTAGAGTAGAGTAAGGCATAGTAGAGTAGTGTAGAGTAGAGTAAGGCAGAGTAGAGTAGAGTAGAGTAAGGCATAGTAGAGTAGTGTAGAGTAGAGTAAGGCAGAGTAGAGTAGAGTAAAGGATCACAGAAACCCTTCAGACCAGTGGCCTCAGACAAACAGGTTGTTTTCTTCGGTTGACCTCAAAGGAAACAAATAAGAGCGCATTAGCGCGCCGCGCACGCCCACCGCACCGCTCTGGACAAAGACAACACGTTTGTTTTGGCAGCGGCTCCTTCATTATTTCGTTTTATGGGCTCGCCGAGGGGTGGGGGCGCTTGTTTTGTGATACGAAGTGGACTTGTTTGGAGTCGGTGAGAAAGGAAGCCGCTCCAAGATCAATACATCCTCTGCATAGAACTCCAGCCGAGCGTGACGTGCGAATGTGGAAGTTGGAGTGCTAGCACTTTGTTATTGGCCTGATGCAGATCTGACCTTGAGAACTGTTTGATCCTCTGTCTTTGTGACATCCTCACACAGATTAAGGATCTCTCATTATTTTAACACAAATGTAAGTGTCTCCATTGCACCAAAGTACATCTGTGTATGTCACAGCCATATGAACCAACTTGGACTCAGAGGAGCACAGGGACTGGCCTCCTGCTGGGACTCAGAGGAGCACAGGGACTGGCCTCCTGCTGGGACTCAGAGGAGCACAGGGACTGGCCTCCTGCTGGGACTCAGAGGAGCACAGAGACTGGCCTCCTGCTGGGACTCAGAGGAGCACAGGGTCTGGCCTCCGGCAGAGGACTGAACAATTGGAGGCAGTGTTGCAGATAAATGCACCTAAAATCTGGAAGTCTTTCTGAAAACTTAAACTTTGACAATGTTCAAAT